TATATATATATATATATATATATATACACATATGTATCCGTAGGTTTAGTCTTAAAATTTAAATACTTGTGTTTATAATTTCATATTTTATTCCAGTTTTGAGGTGTTACTAATAACACAGAAGGATTAAATCAAGGATTAATAGAATGCATGCCGTGATATATTTGGGCTGTCAGCAATGTGCGTAGTGCATTTAGGAGCTAACATGTCTTTAAAATTTCTATTAATTTCATGAGACATACATAGTCTAAAAGAGATTTTGTCAATTCTTTGTGATTTTTTTGTTTCCTTGAGCAGTGTTTGTAACATGAAATCTAGTGTATTTTAACTTTATTTTAGCATAAATATATAACAAAAGAGAGAATAACTGGCAAATAAATTTGTTTTGAAATGGTCTTTATTCTCGCATAGTAGACACCCTATATTCCCAGTCTTTTCCTGATTAATTTTGAATAAATACAACAAAAAATTATAATATAACAAAGAAAATGCAAACAGCAAAACTATGAACTATATATCCCACCTTTTTCTTATTTTTATGTCCCCTCCTACCATTCTCGTCATCTCATGGCTTCTTTTCCCTCTAAACATTGACCTCATCTGTATAAGGTCATGTGGATAGTGATATTCCCCAACATGTTAGTGTTCCATTTATTACACCAGAGGGAGGTTTCACATTTTGTAGCTTTCATCTCCATCTGTTCTCTGACCCTCACGGTGGCTCTGATAGTGAGTTGTTTATTTTTCTTCTTTCTCTTTTGGGTCTCATAACCATCTTATTCAAAATATATATGCATGCATATTATGGAGGCAATGAAACCCACTGAATAACCAATGTTGCTTCACAGGAAATACTTACCAAAAATCAGCATCCTCCCCTGCTCAGTGCCTGCTGCTGAGGTGTTCTGCAAGACTTCTTCTGTAGTGCCTATATATGTTTTATCTTCCAGGCCATCATTACTTGTGAAAATAAAAGTGACAGCATCAGATCTGTGCCCTTCTCACACCTAGCTGGTATCTGCTAACTTTAGTTACAGTAACTCATTGCATATTTTCTCAATATTAGACCTAATTGCAGTTGTTGTGCCTGATAACAGTGGTCCATGCACCTCTCTAATATTGTCCCCATGTGAATACTTCCTTCTGCATTTCTTCTAGTAGACTACTGGAGAACCCTTGTGTCCTCAGTCCTAATATGCTGGGAAAGTTGATATGGAGATCTCACTGAGTAGTACACTAACACTGGCATGAGACTTAGTGGATGTACCCCTTGTTTAGGAAGTAGGGCTGGGGTATTATTTGGTAATATAGTACAGAACACCCCACTATTTTATGAAGCAACCCATTCCTGATGGTTTAATCTAGCTGTTTTAATCTTGTGTTTGCTTTGGGACACAGGTTTAGGATCCTTCTTCCTGCACCTGATTATTGTGGTGAGTATATCATGTAAAGTATTCACTCATGCTCAGCTGCTTGCCTGTGATATAATGGCTGATTGAGCATTCATACATTCCTCCCACTTTGGCATCACTTTATTGCCTTGCAAAAGATTTTGTGATATTCTTTTGTTTTATCTCCTATCCTAACATTGAACACCACAATAACAATGGGTGAAATGTGTTCCCTACTTGGGATGGATGGATGCAGTCTCCATCAAGTGCTGCATCACAAGGCTACACTGCCTCATGTATTTTCTCAGTGATTTTAGAGAAGCATGTAATAGCAGTTACTTTGCAGTCTAAATGGAAGTTTCTTGTATTATAATCAACTTGTGTATCATATAGTATAATACAGTAGGCGATCCAGATACTTCATATGTGTACCAAATATCAGTAGGTTTTTGCATGAATTAAAATTAATATTCTGTGGTTCTAATATTAAATAGTAGCTATTCATACACATTTGTTGTGGCAGTTTCTAAGCATGTACTTTTTTTTTAAGAATGCTTCTTAGTAAAGCTAATATTATTAAACTGACTATTAAAATTACATATATTAAAAGTACATTGCTGCTATTCTGGGAAACATAATTTAAAGAATATACTCATTAGCTGAACACTCATTTTAGAATTCTGCTGAATGAGTATATGTAATGCTGTAGAAGTTTATGGAGTAAATAATTAAAGAAATACTTGCACTACAATGTTTTATTGAAAATTTTCAGTAATGGATAATTTTATGAATTTATTTACTTTGTAGCACATAACTTGTTTTTATAAAGGCCATGAAACAATGAAACCATAATACCAAAATATTGACTTGTTATTTTTTAAAGATAAAATAGTTTTATCCAGATATGTTTACTTACGAATCCAGAAATAATTTTCCTTCGTTTACATGCAAGTCATAAAGACTTACACGAAGTCTTATCATTTTGGGTGTTTAATACTTGTATATCCAAAGAATCCATTATTGTTTCAACTTGAAATGTGGCATTCTAAAATGAGGTATTAGGAGTCTGATCTTTCCTTCTATTGATGTTTCTTAGAAGCTATTTTATAAATATCTATATATGTATCTTAAAACTGAAGTGATTTTTTTTTATAATCCTGCTAATTTCCACACATATTATAAATCATGCATAATATTTTTAGTACTACTAGAAGGAGAATATCTCTGCAAAATGGCTGCAGGTGATGCTTCTGTATTTAGTAACAATGACAAGAAATGTTCTGTTCACGAAGAGACTTTGAAACAGACAGAAATGTGCATAAAAGAGGAAGATAAGTTTGAAACAGGAGGTAAGATGTCATGTGGTTGATGATGCATTTACTGTGTTTTTTGCTAATACATTTCATATGTTAATTGGAAAACTAAGCCACTGTGATCTTTCCTTCTAAGTCAGAGTCATATAATTGAATGAAAAGCTCCCATAATTGATTAAAGATAGAACTGTTTGTTAGATTGTCTACAACATATCTCCATTGCATAAAATGTATTATAAGACATAGTTTAATAATTAAGAACTTTATAAAAGCAACAACATTGCATAACAAGTGTAAAATCACAGTGATGTAAATGCAGTGAATTCTTGTTATTCTGAACACATTTGTAATAAACTAATTTGTCTAAAATATTGAGACATCTGGATAGTGGAATCAGTAATTTTGAATACAACAGACACTATTAATACCATGAATTATCAATTGATAAATGCCAATGTTCAAGCTACAAGGGGTAACATCTATATGTATAATAAACGTATCAGTTTATTTATTTTTTACATAATTAATAAATTGCATTATCAAAATGCCATTCCATTATCTTCACAAGAAATATGTCTTTTTCAAACCAGGACTTACAAAATACAAAATGCATAGATATGGTAAAATATACATAAAATCACTTTCCAAAGAAGGATGTTATCACAGTCTGCTTTTTAAACTGGAGCATCTCAGCATCTTTATGTAAATGTCATCATTCTCGAACCATATAACAGCATTCTTAAGTTAAATTGACTTTATTTAAACACAAATGACTGGTGAATCATTTTCAATGTCAGATTCATTGTCATCACACTATTTAACCCATTTGCTGCAGGCAGGTCAAAGTGCGCATGTCTTGACCTTTTAGAGAGTTATTTTTATAATGTTATTAAATAACTTTACTATTATTTATGTAATAGTATTACATTATTAGTGAGACATGAGTCAGAGGACAATAAAACAATAAATAATTGGGAAATAACAGATAAAATGAAATTTTTTACTTACAAAAAATTTTATATTAGAAGTTTTTAGAAATTATGCAAATAGAATTTGACAATCTTCAGATGAAGAACAATATTTTTAATCTTAACATGAAAATCATATTGCACTTGGAAAAGTCAATGCTCTGACTCCATATACTCACAGACAAATTTATAGTAAAAATGCTTAGTTAAAAAAAAATATTTTTTGTGTACAAAAAGACTTGTAACATGTACTAATCTTTTCAAATTTCCTTAAGATACACAAAACATATTAAACGTTATACTTTGGAAATTCTGACAGTCACTTTGGAGTTATGAACTCAGACAAAACAACCAAGGCCATAGTCAGAGTGATAAACATTGCAGTTTTGTTTCATTTTCCTATGTCTTTTCATATTTTTTTGCCCTTTGATAAATCTGTTTCAGACGCAAATTTTAAAATCAAATTTATGTGTTAATTTCTAACTATATCTCAACAGTTGCAACTCAAATATATTTTATAGGTAGTACTTTGTCATAACTGACATTTATCTTGTGTAATTTGTAATGAAAAGTGAGAAAAGGTTGGTATTTTCGTTTTTGCACAGCTGCATAAAGTGTTCCTCATAAACAACCCTCTGTTTTTTTTTCTGCCCGTACCAAAGATTATCTTTATGTGCCAAAAACCTACCACTCCCTGCAATATATTATCATTTGGTTGTGAACACTTCCCTGAGAATTTTGTACAGGCATGGGTTGTTACCTTGCTGTTGTTGTACATTGTCAAAATCTAAAATAAAATATGTATATATATATATATATATATATAATTTCTTTTTTTGCCAATTGTCAAATAGAAAGGCTTTTAGTTATATTTCTTTATAGTATAAATATATATACTATGTTGTTGTTGGGCTTAGGATTCTTCTACAGTAGG